GATAACAAGTTAATTATCTCTTTATCTTAAAAAAACAAAGACCATTATGCTGTGATGAGAGGATGCATTACATGATCTCTATAATGATGATTTGTGTATGTGCTGTTGCATCCTTTAAAGGCATAACACCACAACAAGACACTACTTATAAGTTTATGTTATGTCATGTTGGCATAATTCTGTGAATAAGTGATAGGTAAACAATGATGATACCATGTCGATGGTTGGTAATTGGTTTTGTGAGCTATTCTATCATTTTCTACATAAATGGTTTTAGATGTGCTCCCCTTTGTTTTGGAGAGGTAGTCACTTTCAAAAATGGATCAGTCTTGAAATAAACCTCTTTAGCTTGCATCAAAAGGGCAATACAAATGGATACCCCTTTGCCAGAAACTCAACTTATGTAAATAGTTAGTACCTTAGTTTCTGGATCGCAAACTTAAGAGGAAGATTTAAAGATAAGTAAAAATGTATATAAAGGAGACGGATTTTCTCAGTATGACTTACCCGTTGTAAAGAAAGGTATATGTATATGGGGAGCTTACTCTCCCCAATTCTTACCTAGAAGAAATATTATAATTTTAACTCTGGGAAAATAAACGTTTAACTAGATAACGCTGGAAGTATGATGTTCCCAGTCAGGAGTAACTCATATTTTGGTACAGCATCTTTGAGAGGCGTCCTCCATTGCTAATAAGAGTGTATCAGAACTGGACAACCTTCAAAGTCTGTAGTGTAAAGAATCTAAGAAAAAAATAATTTGACAGTGATTAACATGCATTCTTTTGTTTGTTGTATCTTCCCAAAGCACTATGGACCAGTCAGAACTCAGAACGTTGGACCCAGAATTTAAGGCAGATAGACTGATGTAATTTATAAAAGCATTTATTGACAAACATCGAATCTGCAACCCAGCAGCTAGGGTGGAAAAGGCCAGAATCTCTGGTTTTAAAGTTCAGTCCATGCCCAGCAGAAGGAGGGGAATCCAGCTGGATGATTTCTCAGAGCATGCGGCAGATGCTGCCCAGAGCGTTCCAGGAGCTGAAGCAAAGAAGGCTGCTGAACTGGCTGACGAGCAGAAGCAGGCAGGAGTTTCCAGAGGGCGAAGCCAAAGCTGGGATCGATCAGGTAAAGAGGAGTCCAGGCCAGAAGATCACAGATCCGAAGAGGTACCGAAGGGAAATTCAAGTCGATTTGAGGAGACAGATCCATAGTAGTAAGCAGGCAGAATCCAGCAGGAGTCCGAAGAAAGGTCAGGCAAACAGATCAGAATGGGAACAAGCAGGCTCAGAGGTCAAAAGGGCAGAACTTGACAGGATCAGGCAATTAGAACAACACACAGGGTATGCTAGAGAACTCTCACTAAAGCCTTGAATAATCTGGCACTGATGACTGGGAGCAAGCATCTTAAATAGAGGCAGGAGCAGGTGGAAAAGATGAACAGTAATGAGAAACTGGGAGGTGCTAGGCAGGTGAGTGGAATGAACTATTGAGCCAGTCATCAGTACCAAGATCATGACAGGACCAGTTTCTCTAAGTTTCAAGGGAAAGAGATTTTCCAGAAGAAAACCTAAGAAAAATTACGGACACTGTGTCAAATACCCAAACTATGTATACAAGAAAGTAAGAAGGTATACTAGAACAAAAGAGATGATTGTAGGGAAAGAATACTTGGTATACAGCCTTCTTAAGATAGGTTGGTTTGTTTTAAGGGTTCTGCTGAAGGGTTGGCAAACTGCAATTTCAGCCTGTGTTAGAAATTGAGAGAAGTAAAGTGTGGGTTCTTTATGGTCTGACATTTTTTAGCTTGAGTCGATTTTTGGCAAGTAACCTCACTGAGAAATTGATAATTTGTTTTAAAGAAATAAGCTATAAGAATCCATTATCTTAAAAAAAGGATCTTGCATCATGAAAGGATAACATAATATCTAATTTTCTGGAGAAATCGTTTTTCATCATTATTTAATAAATATAATAAATAAATATCTTCTTACATTAGGAAAGCACACATCTTATTACCATGATGATGAGATGTTTATAGAGAATATGACCACATTCCACTTCTGTAGAGTAGGATTGTAAAAATAATCGATATTTTCATAGAAGCGATACTAAATGGGTTATCGAAAAGATATAAAATGTTTAAGTCTTTTCAAATAGACATTCTCTTTAGCCCAGATTGTGCTACTTGTTTTGGCAGCAGTGCTGCCAGAACACAGACCCTCTGCCCCTTTACTTCCTGTAGTCCATGAATGTCAAACTAAAGTCTTTGAGGGCCAGCACCCTACAACTTCTAGATGCATGCCTGCCTTAACACACATCAATCGAATTATTAGGGCCATTTGCTGGATTTGACTTCAACTGAGGGGATAGTTAGGCCATTTACTTTAGATGTGTGGAACCAGGGAAATGTCTAAAAGTTGCAGGATATTGGCTCTCAAGGACTTCAGTTTGACATCCTTGCTGCAGCTGCTAAGCCAACCAAAACCACGAGGCAATGCTCAAAGTTTTAAAATCTGCTATGGCGAGAACAGCCAGAAATCAGGAGAGCTTTTTATATGATGAAGATGGACAGAAAAAAATACTGAATGGTGCTGCATAATTACAGTACCACCACTAGCTAACCCTGAAACACTGATGTTTGAAATCCTCTTAATGAGGACAGTAACCTCTCACTGGAAGCTAATGTTGATAATAAAAACATGATATGATATCAACATGAATCATAGTTTTATTGCTTATTCTATAGTATGGAATGATAGAAAAGGCTGATCAAGTGATATTTGTGAAACACAGAACAATACTAAAAGCATCAAGGAATGAGAACAACTGACCAAGTCTAGATGGATCTATGTAACCAAAGAGTTACATAGAGTTCAAACAAAAGCTTTCTAATATCAGCTATTTGAGAGGCAGACTGACAAATTACGATATTCTTTTTTTGGCTGATATCTGGTCGATTTCCAATATCAATTTTAGATTGGGACACTATCATTTAGATTGATTACACAAAGAAATATATATACATATATACATTTTAAGCCTTTTTTATTATATGGGATGATTATGGCTTACAGATAACAATTCACTGTCTCAGCAAACAAGAATATTAGAGAGGACCAATTAGTCCAGTTACCAGCATTCTGACCCTTATTAATACTTTTTATGGGGCAAGTTACTGGTTTTGATCACTTACATAACCCTTACAAAGGAAGTCCCCCACACCTGTCAGTGAGGTCTAGCTAATCAGCAAAGATACTGCTACATGGCAACAGATTTTTGCATTTGAGCAATTAGATACATTGAATATGTTACCTATTGTAAATTAAGCTGGGAAAAGTTAATAAGTTAAGTCAAAAAGGTAAGAAGCTAACTGGAAAGTTAAAAAGCTATTAGAAAAGTTAAAAGATAAAGCTAAAAAAAAGTCAATAAGGTAAGATAAAAAACTTAAATAATGTAAGTGCCTGTATCAACATTAAAGGAATAGTACACCCAAAACATGATTAGCCTTCATTTTCTACTCACCCCCATGCTGAACAACACTCTGGAGTACTTTTTTGATATCTCAAATGCATCTGGAGATCTGGGAGGCTTCTTGCTGTCTGCTGACATTCAAATAATGGAGGTCTATGGTGCCCGAGGCAGAAAGGTCCATAAAAGTCCACAAAAAACGTGTCAATATTCCTCCATACTGTTCGTCCAATGTATTCCAAGTGTCCTGAGTGGGTAGCGTCCATAATTTACTTGAAACAAAGTCATTTAGAATCTTTTAGAGCCTAAACAGTAGTGTATAGGATTTCCTAAAAGCGCGTTCACGAGTCTACGGAAACCGCGGCAGACCAAACCAGATGAAAGTGCGAAAGTGTTGTTCAGCATGGGGGTGAGTAGAAAATGAAGGCTAATCATGTTTTGGGTGTACTATTCCTTTAATGCTCTAAAGTTATATTGTAGCAAAAATTATGTTTCTTTCACTTTGTGAGTGTTTTTCTTTTTTTTTTTTATTGAAGCTCCTTTGTCATTTTTAACATATTGGAGCAAATGACAATTTCTTATTATTACATTGACTTTGAGTTTTGCCATCAAAATATTCATATTTTTTTAAATAACTCTCTTATGTAAAAATTGTGATTTTCATGGAAAAATTATTATACAAAATTAGAAACTTACGTTTGCCACAGTATCTCTACGTTTCTGATATAAGGAGCTGTAAAATTGGACAAAATAAATAATACAATATTTACCAAATATCATTTAGTGAAATGCAGCTGAAGCCCAGTGGGGCAACGAGACTAGATCTTATTCTTTGGTAGAATGAGGGTAAAATGGGGTCATATTAAAAGTCATACAATTACCACATTATACATCCATTTGTAAATATTACATTTCCAAACTATATATTTAGTGTCTGAAATAAATATCTATTTCACAAGAAATATCTTTTTAAAAACTAAAGGTTTCATTTGAAAAATAAATATTTAGTTTACAGAATCAATATTTAAACTGAACTTAAACATTTGGTTTGGAAATTAATATTTAGGCTAACTGAAAGCTTAACATTTAGTTTGCAATCTTAATATTTATTTTAGTTTATTGCTAAATATTTACCTTGCTAAACAAATGTTTGATTAGCATGTTAAATATTTACTTTGTATAATAAATATTTAACTTGTTAATTAAATGTTTTATAAATTTGAGATATTGTTTTATCTTATTTAAGGCAAAATGACCGAAATACTGCTGCAATTATTTGACAAAGTAACTTAACAAACGACATCCCATAAACTGCCAGTGGCAAAGTGGAAACAAAACAATGTTTGAACTTTTGGTTAAACTTCTCTTACTGCTTCCTACTTCTTATTTACTCAATATTTTTCCTTCTTTACCGCATTGCTCATAGTTTACATAAGCATTTCATCCTGCTTGTAGTTCCTGGCTTATAATTGAACACGCGCGCGGGGTCCTTCCCAATGACGCAGCCACGTCCCTCAATGGAGGGTGTGGGGCGCGCGAGGCTTCATAATTGTCTGACGCCAAGCATAAAGTGTCAGAAGAGCTTGAAGTGGGAGGGAAAAAAAACACAAGAGTAAAAGAAGGGCCACTCAGAGAAGGAGATGAAGACTTTCAAGAGCCAGAGCCAACCCGAGCAGCGCGGAGCCCTCAGCAGTCTGCACAGCATCAGCAGCAGCGCTATGGGTCCCCTCACCCTGGCAGTGCTGTTCATCCTCACCATATCTGCCTGTACCAGTAGGTTGACATATATTTGTATTTATTATTAGATGCAACAACTATGTTTTTGCATTTATTTAAATTTCTGGTTGCCACAATGTACATGAGATTCAAAGTATTACAATTTAATGTTTATACAGTTTGGAAATTTGTCTGTATCTATCTATCTATCTATCTATCTATCTATCTATCTATCTATCTATCTATCTATCTATCTATCTTATCTAAACAAACAAGCAAACAAACAAACAAGACAACACTGACACTGACATAAAGCAAAACAATGACTGAAGCGAGCACAGATGTAGACTGACACTTTATCATAACCTATCAATCAGACCTTTGTATTTGTCTATAAGATTTTAGGATTTACCATCAGTGTCAACATTGGAGTGGTGTGTTTTTTTTTTATATGAATAAAATCTAAAATGCTATTCCTTGATTTTAAGCAATCTTTCTATCAAAGCAGGTATAATTTGAGCACTATCCTGCTTTGCATTTGACAGTACAGCTATTATCCTGCTAATGGACCTTCACTGCAATCATGTCAAAGCGTACTGGAAAAAAACATTGTTGGTTGTCGCTACTCCACCTGCACGATCCACACACCCCTAATGCAATTGTTTAGCTCTCTGGATAAAAAGCACACTATCAGTTTTGGATATGGACACTGGGATGATATAGACTCTCCAGTCATGTTAAATGTGTGTTTTTATGTTTTATTGTGAAATGAAAGGTGCGCCAGTCAATCTTCAACAGGCCATAACAGATCAGAGGCAGCTACTTCACCAGGTACACTTTGCTTTGTTGCATTCTCTAAACTTTTTTCTTGGTACCGCCCTCCATCATCAATTGTGCATCTCCACAGATAGACACTGTTTGCTCATCATACCTCTCTGAAGATATGAAGTACTGGGTGAGTGCAGTCTGAAACAGCTTAGATGTATCAGGGTTATTTTTAACAGCTTACATATATATTTTTTCAGACATCGGATGTCATAGGAGAACTCTGTATCTTGATGCTGGTTCAGAAGTCAAAGGTATTTTACATCAAATAATGGATTCTCGTCTTCGCAAACTGCTTTTCTAAAACTTATAATTGTCATTAATCAGATAAATTTAACATTTTTAGGAACTAAGACTTCAAGACAATAGTAAAAGGGTAAGTTGATATTTTTTATGCTGAACTGATTTTCTTTCACCTCAAATTTGTCCTAACCAAATAATTTGTTGGCTATGGGTTTGCATGTGCTTTTCTTGTGATGTTTGGCATACTGTGCTGTATTTGCAGTTTTTATTTCACTATTCTAGACCACAGGGCTCAGTCTTGTCACACAGGGTGGTAAGTTAAAAGATAAAATTAAATTATATGGGACCTGCACTTCTTTTTTAAACCCATTGAAATTAATAATATTTTACTGATGCTCATAATATAGTTGCATGTTTTCATGTCCCTCATATTTCTGTAGTGTATGAAAGTATAGCTGCAGAACGCATGGGCAAACATTCACAGTACTAATATGCACAGACTGTAAATTAAACGCTGTTATTTTTTGTTAGTTCTATGCATGTTGGACACCATTTATTCACCATACCTCCAAAAACGCCAAATGCCTTAGTTACATGAAAAATTAGCCACTTTCTCAGGAATTAACCTTGCACCAAGATGACCCCAGGTTTGTACATTGCACTTTGTGTAAAGTTTGCATGCTCTACTTTTTAATTATTTATTGGGTTGGTTTGGCTACTTACCACAGTGAAAGGAAAAACAATCAATATATTGATGTATCAGTTGCTCCATATTGACTCACACAACTTCAGGTGCCAGTGTGTGAGTGTTTGGTTGCTTTTTCTTTGTGTTGGTGTGTTTCCCTGTGATTAACTGGGCTGGCTTCCTCAACATTCTATATGAATACGTTTATATAGACAATGGATGATGAGGCCTTTTTAAAAAATCATTATTTCACTTTAATTTGCCTCAACAACATCATCTCTAACCTTACATAAGTAAATTGTTGCTTGTGTCTTTAAAACTTGTTTACAGTATGTATTAATTAGTATTCTTAGTCTATAGAACTATAGATTTGGTCTATGATCTAACCTCACTAAACGTCAACCTCAGACCATTTTCACTTTACAATAACAGTGTAAGGAAACCTTCTGATTTTTATTGCAAATGCTGACAGAGTTTATTAAATGTAATTTAAAATTATGATAACAATTATAGGATTTTAAATAATGTCTGACAACATTTTTTCTGACAAATTTCTTTACCTTCTTGATGCATCTATTTTAATCTAATTTGATCATCTAAAATGTAAATATATAATTATTTTGCAAATGATGTCCCTTAAGGCCTTCTAGTTTCAGTGGGTTTAGCCACATCTCTTTATTCACACTGAGAGAAAATTAAAAGACAGTAAAATAATTAGATTCAATAGGTGATATAATGGATTTTTCAACAAGTATGAATTTATTTTTATGAACAGGGATGTAAGAGCTATTCCATTTTGTTTAGCTGTCACATGTTTTACTCATAAATAATCCACCAATCTAAACCAATAAGGAATCATGGCCATCTAATATACATTCACATAATCACTTGTCTCTTTCAAATCAATAAAACTAGTTAAAGCTACATAAAGAGCACACCCTGGCAGTCAATCGGATGTGACTGTAGACTAGATGCATCGGTAATGCTACGCAGACAGGAGCGAAACTGTGCATTCCACTCTGTTGTTTGTGCGTCTGCATCTGTCTCTCTGTGTTTGTGTGTGCGTATGTGTGATGATCAGACCTTTCAGTTGCACCCTCTTCTGCATCTCGTTCCTCAGCTCCATCCATCCAGAAAAGAGAGAGGACTCGTAATGAGCGTACGTACCATTCACATTACTTCATTTTTATTCTTTTTTAATAATATGATCATTGGCTAAATCAAATACCAACTTCAAAAGAAAAATACAAATTTTGTGTTTTGCATGCAGAGACCAAATGCAACCATAGATAAAAAACTGCTCTATTTACCTTGCAACACATTTTATGATGTGTTCAGAACAAAAAGAAGAAATTTAGAGATTCAATTCAATTCAATTCAGTTTATTTATATAGCGCCAAATTCACAACACATGTCATCTCAAGGCACTTCACAGTTCAACCAGATCATAAAGTCAAATTGATACAAAGTTCTCCATCTAAGGAAAACCAGTTGATTGCATCGACTCATTGACTCAATACAATCCCTCACACTAAGCATGCTTGTAGCGACAGTGGAGAGGAAAAACTCCCTTTAAACAGGAAGAAACCTCCAGCAGAACCAGGCTCAGTGTGAGCGGCCATCTGCCGAGGCCGACTGGGTTCAAGAAGACGGAAGCAGAGACACAAAAGCAGCTGTAATAGGCGGCCCCGTCCAGGAAACACACAGCCAGGCAGACGAGCTCCGAGCCAGCTCCCATGTCAGAGGACGAAGAAAGCACATCCACCCAGTCACAGCACAGCTGATGTTTCTTTCCAGGATGACGTCACAGCCAAACAGGAACAGACAAGGCAAAGCTACTCTGAGGAAAAGCAGATAGAGCAGAAGGTTAGAGATTGAACTAACAGATTCTGCAGAATAGGAGAATAGAAAGAGAATGAAGCAGAATGATGAAATGGGGGTCCCTATGTCCTCCAGCAGTCTAAGCCTATAGCAGCATAACTATAGAGATAGCTCAGGATAACCTGAGCCACTCTAACTATAAGCTTTATCAAAAAGGAAAGTTTTAAGCCTAGCCTTAAAAGTAGACAGGGTGTCTGCCTCACGGACTAAAACTGGTAGTTGGTTCCACAGGAGAGGAGCCTGATAACTAAAAGATCTGCCTCCCATTCTACTTTTAGAAATTCTAGGAACCACTAGTAAACCTGCAGATTGAGAGCGAAGTGCTCTGTTAGGAACATAAGGAACAATCAGATCTCTGATATAAGATGGAGCTTGGCCATTTAAGGCTTTATATGTGAGAAGGAGGATTTTAAATTCTATTCTTGATTTAACAGGAAGCCAATGAAGAGAAGCCAGGATAGGAGAGATGTGATCTCTCTTTTTAATTTTCATCAGAACTCTGGCTGCAGCATTTTGGATCAGCTGAAGACTCTTAACTACAGTTTGTGGACTTCCTGATAGTAAAGAATTACAATAGTCCAGCCTTGAAGTAACAAATGCATGGACTAGTTTCTCAGCATCACCCCTGGACAGGAGATTTCTAATTTTTGCAATGTTCCTCAGATGAAAGAAGGAAATTCTAGAAACCTCTTTGATATGGGATTTAAATGACAGGTCCTGATCAAAAACAACACCAAGATTTTTTACTTTATTATCTGAAATCAGTTTAATCCCATCCAAATGAAGTGACTGACTAATCAGCTTATTTTTCAAAGACTCTGGTCCAAAGACTATAACTTCTGTTTTGTCTGCATTCAGAAGCAGAAAGTTAAGAGTCATCCAGGTTTTTATGTCTTCAAGACATGCCTGTAATCTATGTAATGGGTTAGCTTCATCTGGATTTATAGACAGATATAGCTGGGTATCATCAGCATAACAGTGAAAATTAATCCCATGCTGTCTAATAATTCTACCAATTGGGAGCATGTATAAAGTAAATAGAATTGGTCCTAGCACTGATCCCTGTGGTACTCCACAGGTAACCTTTGAGCATGTTGAAGATCTATCATTAACATGAACAAACTGAAATCGATCAGATAGATAAGATTTAAACCAGTCTAATGCTGTTCCTTTAATTCCAACAAAATGTTCAAGTCTTTCTAAAAGAATATTATGGTCAACTGTATCAAATGCAGCACTAAGATCCAACAGGACGAGCACAGATACAAGTCCATTATCTGAGGCCATGAGAATATCATTAGTGACTTTCACCAGAGCTGTTTCAGATCTTGAGATTTAGACAATAACTTAGAGCTGGTTAGAGGTAAAGCATGCACTGGCAGGAGATGTTGATACTGAAACACATGTGCTTCATTCCACTGTGGACTTGAACACGTTTTCCCCGTCCTTAGCTCACGAGTCGGTAATGTTCAGTCTGCATTAGTCGTATTTTCCAAGCTGAGAGTAATTATGGTCTAAAAATGAGTGCTGCTGTAAGGGGAACACATCCTTCTTTGCTATCAAACAAATCAGATAAAGTGCAAATGTGGATGAGAAATATGGAGACGGTTTGTTTTCGAGTGACTTTATAAGTGGGTATATGCCCTTACCTCTGCTGGGAGAGAAACACTTTTTCTACGTCAACAAAATCCATCATCATTTGAGTGGAAAGATAAATCCTGTTGCTTTTTGTGTCCATACAGGCTGAACTCCAGGGACCTGGTGGAATTGAAAGCAGGGGCTACTTCCTCTATCGGGTGTGTTTATGTCAGGTTTTAACAGGAAGTAAAGGTGGTACAACAAAACTGATTACTCTTCTTGCACTTGCAGCCACGAAACGGAAGACGGTCCTTAGAATATGAATAAAAAAGGTAACAATACATGTTAGGAGTTAACTGTGTTGATTATTTTTGTGACTGAAAAATGATTCTGTGTGTGGAAATGCTGCAGAAACAGAACCTGCAAGTGTACAGAGACAACACGGACCCCTGAGACCCGAGCCGCTTCACGATGACTGAGTGACCCAGAATCCAACCACAGCCCTTTGCCTTTGCTGTACACTGATGCTTGAATCTTTACAATGAATACTAATTAAACTAACATTCATTTTTGTGATTTATTGAGGTAGTGTAATTTTTCTTCCTGACATATTAGGCATGGTATTTGTATTTCAAAGATGTAAGTTGCAAATGGACAAAATATATCAATTATACACTCTAGGATAAAAAGCATCTTAATATAGACTCATTTGCATTCTGTTTTCATTATTTTAATAAACATTAGTATCAGCAGACTTTTTAAGTGAGATATGCAGTTATTATTATCAGCAGTAGATGCCGCCACTGCTCCATTAACTTCATGTATAATGGCTTCAGTTGTGCTTATTCAGCACCCACCAGGAAAATTCAAAATTGCTCACTTTTTTCTATCTGTCTGAAATTTTGAAATTAATATTACACTTGATGCAGATTTGGCATTCAATCATAGTTTTGAAGTGTATTACAGGTTTGAAAGGATTCAACAAACTGAGAATAGTTCTTCAAATGTGCCCAGATTTTCAAATCATGTTTTTTTTTAATCAATAAAGAACTTTATAAGTAGCTTTTACTTTGTTTTAGATAGAACAACTCTAACATATGGGCTGACTGTAATATTTCACTGTGTTAGAGTGTGGAGATACCGTTGGAGGTAGCAGTGGCAATGGTGCCTGGGTGTGGCAAGAGGAGGAACTTTGATATGTTTGTGTGCTAATTCCTGAGGAAGCAGATAGTCAAAAAAATACTGGAATGACTGCAAATACCTGGACCAAAACTTGTTTTGCAACAGACACTGAGGTTTCAGGTTCCACTAGTCATCTAATACTAAAAGCTAAAGAGAACTACTCCTGACCTCCAATACTGACACAAATGTATACAAGGAAAAAAAAAGTCTTCTGAAATCAGTTTACAACAATATAAGTAACCAGGAGAAGTTTTGGATTCTTTTCTGTAGATTGATGATCCCAATATGTACATTTTAGGCCTTTAGGTTTTAGTCAGATCCATTACTACAATGAAACATGGCAGTGATTTTGTGATGTTCTAGGTCTGATTAGACACAGTCGTTTGTGACAAAAAAAAACTTAAACAGGGTGGATTAGATCAAGTATGAAGAGGCCCTGAAATTCGCCTGCTATCAGAATGGAAATTAAACTTTGGATGGTCACTGCTTCAAACAAGAAAATAAACTCACATCTTGAGGTCAATAATGAGCCAGTTTCATAAGAATTTTTGTAAAATAGAGTGGCCATGATAACTGTCTAACCTGAGCTCTAATCAAAATCTCTGATGGCACCTGAAAGAGAGAACAGGTAAACCCAACCAGACTTAGACTGCCATCTACTGGCCAAACAGAAAACATGTTCACACAATGCTGATGAAGATTCTTAGTCATCCATTTCACAGTCATTCCAAAAAAGTTAAAAAGAAACCAAATAACCTCTCCACAGAAGCATGGCTCAACACAGAAGAGCTACCTCCTCCGGACAGGATTCTGCTGTCCACTTGCACCTTGTGGAAAAGGGACACACATTTGATGACCATAACGTTCATTTTGGACAAGGAAGACAGGTGGTTTGAAAGGGGTGTGAAGGAAGCCCTTTATGTTAAGAAAGAAAAATCTCAGGTTTCAGTTCTCAAAAACCTACAATGCAGCGCTACAGTTAGTGGCGCTACAAATATTAGCCCTTAGTGGACAAAACATCTCTCCTGGGCAGCCAAGCCAACAATTGGCCCTAATGACCCCCCCCCTTTCAGAGGCATAGACCCGTTCTTCTGGTTCAATTCAAATGTTTTCTAATCCAAAACAAGTTTTTGGGCTACCATATAAAGCTTCAAACTCAATGCTAATTCTATTTTAGTGCAGTATCAGGGCCCCCGCCCAATACTGGTATCGTTATATATAGTGAACTGATTTGGGATTTTGTAAGGCTGAGAATACATCTATAACTAGGACCTTTCCGCAGAATTCGAGTAATGTGGTTTATATCTTGTGAGATTCTTTAAATTTCTCTCAGGAAAGGAAGAACTCATATATGCAAATACTTTGGAAAAATTTGTATCCCTTGCGCTTTTTGTCATATTACAACCATGAGATCAAATGTGTTTTATGTTTTTGTTAATCGACAAACCAGAAAATTGTACAGTGGAGCGGAAAGAACATTAGAAATAAAGAACAGGGATAAAGAAAAGAGATCTTTGATGTGCATTATAAGCTTTCTTTACTCTATTGTTCCTTATGCAAGTTTAATACAAGGTGGTTTCAAAATTCTCCTCTGCAATTTGCAACAGTCTATGCAGGGTAAACAGAAAACAGCTTTTTAGATTACATGCACAATACAATATGTTGCGGCAAATTCTTATGAACAGACAATACTTACAGTGAAATATGATGCTGGCAGCATCATGCTGTGGGAACCTTTCATTTTCTCTTTTTTCAACAGAGACAGGGAAGCTGGAAAGGTAATGGGGATAATGGCACTAAATACAGTGCTTTTCCAAGAATACAGTCTGTTAGAGATTTTTAAGACTTGAGATAGTTGAGGATGATCACTGAACAGCCGGACAACAGCTCTAAGTAGCTCTATAAGTGTTCACTAGCTGGAACTTTCAGCCTCCTAGTAGCACATTTCAACTGGAACACCCCATCAGTTACTATTTCCTTTGGCCTCCAACTAGGAAATGTAAACCTGAATACCCCAAAAGTTGTAATTATGAGTCAGAGAGTTGGGGTGATGCAGCCATACCAACCTTACACATTTAAGATGGCAGCTATTCACATCAACAGTTGTTATACTAAATAATTCACGCACACTTTTAGCTGTTAGAAAGATTAGGTATTACAAAGCTGTTAATATGTTCAAAAAATACAGTGTAGAACAGATTTTGTTTTGTCATGTGTTGTTTTAACATTGTCCATATTGGCCACATAAACAAAGAAACTAGAATGCCATCACCTCTGAGATTATGTCACTATGACTTCCCAGCTCAGAGGGTATTTAAATTATTGCAATTAGATTGTTAGATCTTAATACATCCAGGTGTTACAATGAACAAAATATTGTTCTGAGATTTTCGGTATAGAAATTGAACATTGAGGTTTGATGCATTATAAGTAACTTGATGTGCAAAGCTGAAATTAAGACCTTCAGCTTTTAAATGCAGCAAATGTTTGTTAGGAAGGGTGAGAGTGGAGCAGAAAAAGCTGAGGTTGATAAAGGTGCTTAAAGCTCAGGATGATAAAGAAGCATGAGTTTTGACATCATAGTCCAAGGACAAAATAAAAACCAAAATAGGAATTGTAAGATATCTGGATGCTCAAAAAAGAACCTGTTTCAGTGTGTCTTGTATTTTGTTCCTTTGGATGTATTGACTAATTTTGCTACTTTGGCATGTACATTTATTTAGACACTTCATTTATGTAATTTCATTTTTTGTTTTTTTTTAGAATTTTAGAAAAATACTGTGTTGTTTTACAGACATGTTTAGTAGGGACAGTTTAAAGAATCAAGAGCAAAGAGCAACAATGAATAGGAAAATAACATTTTTAGAGTACATTCTGACGATTAATGGCATGTTGTACTTTCTTTTGCATTGTATTGAAAATTGCAAGACCCAATTATTTTAATGGCAATAGTTGTATTTTGCTTTAAAGATTTATAAGGTATCATTTGTTGGATTTCCACATATATGAGGCAAAGTGAAGGCCAAATGCATGCTGTGCACCCAATTGCCAATTGACAGCTGGAGATAGGCACCAGCAACCCTCACGACCCCACTTGGGATTAAGCATATTAGAAGATGGATGTATGGATTTGAAGTGTGTGCGTGTGTGTATGTTTTTATATTTATGAATAATTGAATAGAAATAGAAGAAAATCCTTGAAGGGAATTCTCCATCCCCAAAATTTGGTGGTCAAACAGAGTACTGCAGCTGCACTTTGCTTGTTGCCATGGTAATGGGTACCAGGCTAAAGATGGTGAAAAATTCAAAATACAGTTTAATAGCCAAATTAATCAAACCTAACCTAGGTTCAGTGTAAAAATATAAAATAATTTTTTTCATTTTTATTTTAGAAATCACTTTAGTGTTACTGAATATAAGGGAATATCCTATTTGTACATTTTTGATACATGACTTTTCACTGTGATTAAGGATGAAAACGAAAAGAAACAAAGTTAATAGTTTTAGCTAAAGCTAAACAACTAAAAAATATATATAATATAATATATATAATATATAATATAATATAATATAATATATATATATATATATATATATATATATATATATATATATATATATATATATATATATATATATATATATATATATATATATATATATATATATATATATATATATATATATATATATGTGTGTATAAGATGTATCAGCGTGTATACACCATGTATAAATCTTCGCAGGGGAGTGTGTGTCTTCTGGAAAACAGCGGCAGGCTGTTTTGACTGCAGTTCAAACTCGAGTGTATATGTCTGCTCCATCAGTCAGTTTGCCTCCCCAGTTAGTCAGTCTACCTCCTCAGTCAGTCAGTCTGCCTCTGTCAGTCAGTCTGGCTCTTCAGTCAGTCAGTCTGCCTCCTCAGTCTGTCTCCCTCCTCAGTCAGTCAGCCAGTCAGTCTGCCTCCTCAGTCAGTCAGTAAGTCTGCGTCCTCAGTCTGCCTCCCTCCTCAGTCAGTCAGTCTGCCTCTGTCAGTCAGTCTGGCTCTTCAGTCAGTCAGTCTGCCTCCTCAGTCTGTCTCCCTCCTCAGTCAGTCAGCCAGTCAGTCTGCCTCCTCAGTCAGTCAGTCAGTCTGCCTCCCTCAGTCTGCCTCCCTCCTCAGTCAGTCAGTCTGCCTCCTCAGTCAGTCAGTAAGTCTGCGTCCTCAGTCTGCCTCCCTCCCCAGTCAGTCAGTCAGTCAGTCAGTCAGTCAGTCAGTCTGCCTCCTCAGTCAGTCAGTAAGTCTGCGTCCTCAGTCTGCCTCCCTCCTCAGTCAATCAGTCAGTCTGCCTCCCTCCTCAGTCAGTCAGTCTGCCCCCCTCCTCAGTCAGTCATTCTGCCGCTGTCAGTCAGTCAAGCTGCCTCCTCTGGCTGCCTCCCTCCTCAGTGATTCTGCCTCCTCAGTCAGTCAGTAAGTCTGCGTCCTCAGTCTGCCTCCCTCCTCAGTCAGTCAGTCAGTCTGCCTCCCTCCTCAGTCAGTCAGTCAGTCAGTCAGTCTGCCTCCTCAGTCAGTCAGTAAGTCTGCGTCCTCAGTCTGCCTCCCTCCTCGGTCAGTCAGTCAGTCTGCCTCCCTCCTCAGTCAGTCAGTCAGTCAGTCTGCCTCCCTCCTCAGTCAGTCAGTCAGCCTCCTCAGTCATTCTCCCGCTGTCAGTCAGTCAAGCTGCCTCCTCTGGCTGCCTCCCTCCTCAGTGATTCTGCCTCCTTAGTCAGTCAGTCAATCTGCCTCCTCAGTCAGTCAGTCTGCCCCCCTCCTCAGTCAGTCATTCTGCCGCTGTCAGTCAGTCAAGCTGCCTCCTCTGGCTGCCTCCCTCCTCAGTGATTCTGCCTCCTCAGTCAGTCAGTAAGTCTGCGTCCTCAGTCTGCCTCCCTCCTCAGTCAGTCAGTCAGTCTGCCTCCCTCCTCAGTCAGTCAGTCAGTCAGTCAGTCAGTCAGTCTGCCTCCTCAGTCAGTCAGTAAGTCTGCGTCCTCAGTCTGCCTCCCTCCTCGGTCAGTCAGTCAGTCTGCCTCCCTCCTCAGTCAGTCAGTCAGTCAGTCTGCCTCCCTCCTCAGTCAGTCAGTCAGCCTCCTCAGTCATTCTCCCGCTGTCAGTCAGTCAAGCTGCCTCCTCTGGCTGCCTCCCTCCTCAGTGATTCTGCCTCCTTAGTCAGTCAGTCAATCTGCCTCCTCAGTCAGTCTGCGCAGTTAACCGCCAGCAGCGCCACCGGGTGCAGGAATATCCTGACGAAAGACTGGACTCCACGGAGGTAAGCGTCACTCTTTCAACCCTGTAGCCGTTTTCTAACTGTGGCATCTTTGTCGACAAGCTCCGTGAACACTTTAATCAGACTCGGATGGACTACAATGATAGCCCAGGTAATAGCCGTTTAATAACAGTGAAGGCCCAGTGACCCACATTCTTATCTAATGTGGCACGTTAGCTAGCTAGCTTCGGCTAAAACTGGGTTAACTGCCGCACACACCACCTTTTACGGACCACTTAAATGCAGGCATCTTTTACATGTTAAAGTTACCTACGGGTTTTTAAAGAAAAAACACTGTTTCACTATTATTACGCAGCATTACAAACTTGTGCGCGTCACATATCGCAGTGTTTTGAAATATAAAGCTATTGTTTTGGTTGGTGACTCTAGCCGGTAAGCTAGGTGGCGACAGCCGCCCTCCGGCGGTGTCTCCCCGGTGGAGCCGGCCGGCATCAGGGCATGGACGGATACATCTGCTGCTCAAACATCGCAAACTCGCAGAACAGATACAAGCCATTTTTGCTCTATCGATGATCATTCCGATTTCATATAAATATTTACATTTATAGTTTTAAAATGCATGCTAGTTCTTCCTCATACTAATTAATGTACAACTTCTTCTTCTTTTTTTTTTTTTTTACCTTTTTACTCTCAAAGTCAAATTTCTGTTTTTCTAAAGACAGTTAATGAGTATCCTGGTGGTCAGGATGTTTAACCTGTCCTGTTTGGTCCCTGATTTAATGGTTCACCTGCTTAATGGGGGCTTTTAAGACCGCTTCAAATCTGTATTTGCCCCAAAACAAATAAATTGGTTCCATCTGCCAGCCTAAATAACCTCAGTGCAACACCCCTCCTTCTTATTAGCCATGTTAAAACCTTAATAATTTACATGTCTACATGTTTTGTTATAATTCGATTCTGCCATACTCTGATACATTTATTTACTTCAGCTTGATTTTAAGGTTTGAATCTACATAGAAGAAGTGCATGATTAACACTGAAAATGTAATCTGGAAATGTATAATTTTAAGTATAAACAACTGAATAGTAGCACCTTAAAGAGTAAATTCATTTAAAGTCAGAATTCCTTGTGCTTTTGGTCGTTGAATGCATAAACCATGAGATTTTACCTTTTTTTTAGTTTATTTTTTATATTTCTTTTAACACAGATGCTCTCAATCTTGGTTATCAACACCCTCTCTTCATCATGCTTCAGACATCTATTCTCCAGTGAATTCATTTAAATGAATTTATTCCCTTCTCAGCATGATAGGTGTTGAATATGCCTGTTAATCCCTCATTCATTGACCTCAGGTGTTTTTAATGTTGGGATGGGATCAATGTTTTTTAATAAAGTGATATAGACACCAACAATATTTACTGATAAACCAATTGTATGTTAGAAATTTTAAATTTAGTTTAGCTAAAAAAAAAAAAGCACTGAAAAATAGGTAAAAGCAATAAAGAAGCCATCCTGGTTGTCAGTTACGTTTGTGTTGCCATTTTTATTTTCTGGCTAGGAAGCTAAACGGTATAGGAGCCACCGGAGAAGAGGATAGGGATTTTTAAACAGAATTCACTTTGATTTTCAAAGAAACATCTAAAGCAATTGAATTAAAGATTAATTGTTTTTTTGTTTCTTTATCTTGTCAACATTGCTTTATCTAATACACCTTGCCTTTCAGATTACTGCACCAAAGCAAATACTTGTAAAGCCTTTACAAAAAATGTTTATTGGATCAAAGTCTTTCCAGTTTGATTATACTGCTCTGAAAACTGATCTGAAATTGATGATAGAAAAACGAATGGTAAACCTTTCCACCTGAGGAACCCTTAAATAAATGCTAAGTTTGCTAATATACTAGGCCATTGGTAGTTAAAAATCTTATAATGGCTATGGGAAACATTTAAAGCTTTTAATATGCCAGCTAACTTTCAACCAAAGGAAGTTAAAAGGCCAAAATATTTTTAAAAGTTGATTGAAAATAATTACGTTTGCGATATGGCAAGAAGAGTTTAGTATTACATTCTAAGCGTTCCTGTTGTGTATGTCCTAACATTCTCAGAGGAATTTATCACCTGACATTGACTTGAGCAGCAGGGAACACCCTTTGTCACACAGGACTGGTTGTGTCACGCTGACATTTTTCTAAGAGCTAAGGGTATCTTCTTGATCTTGAAGACATAACAAGTCTGACTTAATTACTTAGTCAGCTATTATTTCCTAACAGTCAAGGTAAATGGGAAAAAAGACTCATTATTCTCAATGTAGCAACAAGTCAGCAATTCAGTGCTAAACGAAAAATTTAAAGTCTGTTTTTCTGTATGTTCAGGTTATCAATATACCGTACTAATTTTAAAAATGGTGGAAATGCTCTTCTGTAAAACTGTTTGCCTTCTGTTTGACTACATTTTACTAGTAAGGCTTTGCAATACAACTAAAAAATGCATCATGCTGTAAGCTTTTCATGTAGGTGGAAATGGATCATTATTAATTCATGTTTCCTTGCTTATTAGAAAATAAGGACCAAGGAAAATTTCAACTTATAACCCCAGCCCTATTTAAAGGAGAAGTTCGGCTTTTAACACTTTTAGCCCATTTTCTGTAGTGTCCAGCATGAAATCGAATGATCGACACCAAAATTTTGACAATTGGTCCTGTCTCTGCTTTTTGGCTCATTTAGAATCCACCCCTGGCTGCTTTAGAATGGCTTCCATAGAGCATGTCCGATAATGTCCTTAAAACAACCTTAAACGTTCTTTTTTTAAAATATGCTACTCACCGGGTCGTCAGAGCTGTTCAATGACGTTCCAAAAAAAGTTTCATAAAGAAAAAACGTTCCTGTAGTGTTTTATTTAGCATTTTGTAAATCCCATTGAGTTCTGTTGGAATAGTCAATATTCCCCTGCCACCGGAAACGGAAATGGGGCCTGTTTACACAGTTGTAGTCTTTTCGCTTCACTCTGTGTACTCCGACGTCGAGAATCAAGAATCCACCTTTCGTATTCCATTTTCAGAGTTTTTTAAAGTGTTTAACAGAGACGTTAGCACCTCGACGTCGGAGTACACAGAGTGAAGCGAAAAGACTACAACTGTGTAAACAGGCCCCATTTCCATTTCCGGTGGCAGGGGAATATTGACTATTCCAACAGAACTCAATGGGATTTACAAAATGCTAAATAAAACACTACAGGAACGTTTTTTCTTCACGAAACTTTTTTTGGAACGTCATTGAACAGCGCTGACGACCCGGTGAGTAGCATATTTAAAAAAAAGAACGTTTAAGGTTGTTTTAAGGACATTATCGGACATGCTCTATGGAAGCCATTCTAAAGCAGCCAAGGGGTGATTCTAAATGAGCCAAAAAGCAGAGACAGGACCAATTGTCAAAATTTTGGTGTCGATCATTCGATTTCATCCTGGACACTACAGAAAATGGGCTAAAAGTGTTAAAAACCGAACTTCTCCTTTAAATGCATACTTTAACCTTTGGAAATAAGGTTATTGTAAACATTAAGAAGCCTGTAATAGTACAGACTAGAGTCATTTTCCTGTCTAAAGAGATTACCACACTAGAAAAAAATTTAAATCTAGATAAGTAATTTTTTTCCTAAAATAAGTGCATTTGTTCTTGGATTGAGGAGGTAAAAGAGACATTTTGACCATGGAACAAGACAATTTACACTTAAAATAAGAAAACACAATTGCATTGTCTTATTTCAAGTGCATATTATCTAAATCTCTTATTTCCATTGGTAAACTATCTCAATTACATACTCAAATTATGGGTAAATACACTTCATTTAAGAAATTATTTACCTGTTTCTAGATTGTTTTTCCAGTGCACAAAGATGCAGCTAAATACTTTCTTGAAGCATCACTTTTGACCCACTTATTAGCTTAATTTGAGATGCATTAAATGATTGCACTTGGCGCATATTGATGTTCCCTGCAGGCTGCCCTTCTCAAAAACTAGGCAACGTAACTTGAGAGGGTCTGATCTGTCACTAGATGAGTCATATGACCCAGAGCACATGATATGCTTACCTGATCAGACATATTTTCGGTTCTCTGATGGCAGATTTCATCTAGAGGAGTGAATGTGGCCTCCTCTTTACTAGTGACTCCGTGACTTCTCAAAGTGCTGGTCTAAAGTAGTTTGCTATCTGAAAACACGGGGGGAGACTTTAATTTTGCTTTAGTGTTGTGTTGACAGTTACTTTCATGGGTGTTTAACCTCAAAGTCAAAGGTCCCCCACTAGAGGCTAAATGGAAAATACTGTCGCTTTAATGATTAAGTAACTTCGATCACTATAAATTCAGCATTGCTTTACCAGGCTTCGTTATTCCACTTAATCAAATGATCCATTTTACTGCTTATAAAACATGAGCTACCAATATAGAAGTTAATTTAATCTCAGAGGAATCACTGTTGTTGAGCTCTTAAGGGATAATCTAAAGGTTATTGCAATGGGTATAAATATTCCTAATTTTTATAATTTCACACACTCATCATAATATCTTTAGCCAGCTTACAAGAACTTCCATATGATAACATAACAAGCTCTTATTAGTGGTTGTAGTTCAGCTTTGAGATATATGTGAGCATCATTTAAGGCTCAGAGGTGTACCTCTTTTGTCATACTGCAAGAGCTTCATGTTGACCCAGATGTTTTGTATCTGATTCAGTAATACTAGTGCCTCTGCTCTGATTATTATATTGAGCTCTTTTAAGTCTAAGGAAAACTCACCACAGTAATTAGTCTTTAGGTGTGAAGGTTAGCTGTTAAGCTATAACGTACCGGGTTGGGCTGTTGGTTGCAAGGGTGGCGAGTGGAAAGAGATTATTTTCAGAGGATCCTCAGTCCGTGCTAATGAAGCTGTTAGAACCTAATTCATCAAGCGTGGTGGCAAAGCGCCATTCATCCATTGTGCTCTATTTTTGCTCCACAATCTGTCGTTTTACAAAAACAAATACCGGTATATAAATCCAAGAAAAATG